TAGACTAGACTATAGACTAGACTATAGACTAGACTATAGACTAGACTATAGACTAGACTATAGACTAGACTATAGACTAGACTATAGACTAGACTAGACTAGACTAGACTAGACTATAGACTAGACTATAGACTAGACTATAGACTAGACTAGACTATAGACTAGACTATAGACTAGACTATAGACTAGACTATAGACTAGACTATAGACTAGACTATAGACTAGACTATAGACTAGACTATAGACTAGACTATAGACTAGACTATAGACTAGACTAGACTAGACTATAGACTAGACTATAGACTAGACTATAGACTAGACTACAGACTAGACCAGTCCAGTGGTATTTCTTCCGATCTCAGCTGCGCTGTTTTTGAATCTATATTCACACTGTTATAACGTCTCTAAAATATGGCCAAAAACAGTAGAACACAATAACCTAAAGTGATGGAGTAATTCTGAGTCAAGCTTCGTATTCAGATTTCGACATTTTTAAAATTTTGATGACCGGTGTAATTATTTAGGTGTGTTATTGGTGTATATAAAAGTGTACCATGAACTGATTATTCAATGGATCTAAACGTACTGTTGTAATAAAAATAAAATAATTTTTGAAAAATGTTCTCATGATACATTTTGTTTACATTTGTTGTTATTATTGAAATAATATTATTATATTTGTTGCTGTTGTTGTGTTATATTTTAGTTAACAACGAAAAATACCTGAAGAAAAACAAAAAAACAACAACTGCAAACAAACAAACAACAAACAAGTAACAATCAGAAAAACTTTATCACCCAGAAAAGTGTGGGTACATCATCATTTTGTAAGTATTAAAATTTTATTTTTTTGTTTGGATCTTCGGGAAAATTTCCCACAATCATTATTCATAATGTAATCATATACTCTGATATATAAACAATTACACAAACATAGATGATGTACACTCGGGCCTACAAACAGAAGTACACATACATATGTATATGTAGGTATGTTTGTAGTGAGACGCTATGAATTTTTGTGTTTAAACTATTGATTAGAAAGCTTTAAAAATACTCGTTTAAATACCGAATTTCGAACAAAGAAATGAATAAATAACATTTAACAATTAGTAGTAATAATGGTCCATTGTACAAATTAATTTAAGACCTAATTGTGAGGAAAAAATTGAAGAAATTCGATCATTATTATAATTTGGTGGGAAAAAACAATTAGTTGGTCTGTGCAACAAGCAAGTTTGTTTTAGAGAGAAAAAAAGTGGGGCACTAATAATTAATTAATATTTGACCATTTACTGAAGTTTTGGGAATTTAGAAAAAATAATCTTAGAAATATAATTTAAAAAACTGCTACTTAACCAAGTTATAATTTTATGTTTAACATGTAATTTCTATATTTCTTTAAAAATATTTTTAAAAAGATATATAATAGAAAAAAAACAATTATTCTTGACATATGACTTCTATTTCACCCAAAGCTCCATGGAAAAAAACTTTCCCGAAAGTCAAGCTGATGCTTTCCAGCATTATTCTTAGTTACACTCTCGCTTCACTTCTTGAAAATCGATATATACCCGTAAAAATAACCCAATACAAAGGAACTACTAAGATAAATATAAATATCAGCGATAACAAATTCTTAAAATAAAATAAAAAATGGCACCAAAATTATATGCATCCAAAAATCCATCACAACACAAACAAATACAAGCCGACGAAATTCCAAAGAACTATAACGCAAATTTAGCATTCAAACCGCTTGATTATATGAATCAAAGCCAGGCAATTATCAGGATTCAAAAAGCATTGGTTGAATCTTGTCAGAATTCATACAAAATAAATGTTCAAATCACAAATCAAAATCTTCAAATAGTTGCATAAAATACGCACACGAATAATTTCGCATACAAATAATGGCTTCTTGCGTTCCTTCAATCATTTGCTTTCTGTCTAGCGTCTCACGTCTTTCGAAGTCCTCAGATGTGTTGGGGCTCTTTGGAATTCATCTAATTCATGGTGTTGCGCATTTTAGATCCTTTTGTTTTGTTTTTTTTTTTTTTTTTTTCAAACAATCAGTTTTATGCAGTTTACTACCTGCCCATTTGGTCTTTATTTTCTAAAATAAAAAAGCACACAATTTTTAAAGTTTTCAAAATAACAATCAAAACAAAAACGTTTTCTTTTCTTGACTTAAATTTTGCGCTATAGCGCCGTTATTACGGCTATATAAGCGGACAGACATGATCCTATAACAATGATAAATTTATGTATATTTTGTATCGTCATGTCATCATCATCATCATCTGTTCCATTTGCAGTAAAATGTTTAAATTCCACAAAAAGAAGTTTAGTTTAAATATTTTAGAAATGAAAAAACAAAGTCATCATTTTGAAGAGATCACTGGCCTTGTGGTTTTGTTTTAATTTATTGTTTGATCGAGTGTCTGTAAAATGTTTAATGCTATAGAGTTCGTTTTATATCCACCATCTAAAAAAGGAGGATATATTGATTTTATTATTACATTTGTAACACATAAGAATATTGTTCATAGACCCATAGAAGCATACAGAATATGTATATAAAATTTTGGTTTGCCATTAAATAATTTTGCACTTTATTGTAAAAGAATGTAATGTACACAGAATAAGCATTTCAGAAAAATCTAAAATGGGTGCCATCAATACAGCCAATATCTGCCAAATAAATAAAAGTTAATCACTAAACATCCATGTTGTATAAACTCAATATGTCCAACTCGATTCGTTTCATATCGAGCAACATCTTGCCAGCGTTACCACTTTGGTCCAGCTGGACCATAATTGGTAGTTTCAAATCTCTAAAATGACTTTTCGTAGCTTGGTTGGTATGCTTACATTCAAAAAGCACCTTCCGAAATTCAACTACTTGCTTTCTTGAGTATGATTTGGAGAAACATTTTCTCGATAAAATAAATTATATATTTCATAATGATATTGTGCCAAAGTATTTGGGAATTTTGTACCACGTTCATGACGAAAATTGTCAGTGTTATTTATGATTATGTATATCAAACTTATTTGTGCCAATTTTTGGAAAGATAGTAGTATACTCGTAGTTATGAGGTCCGGTTATATGGGGGCCAGGGCAAAAATTGGTCCGATCCTAATAAAATTTATTGTCGGAATTTATGTTTATATAAAATTTATTTATGCCGAATTTCATCGTGATACTAGTGTTTCTAAGTGAATCGAGGACATTCAAGTCATTTTCTGAAGTGGACTTTTTATGGAGTCTGGGGTCAAATAATGTCCGATCATCATGAAAATCGACAGTGTTATTTATAATTATATCAAACTTAATTGTGCGCATTTTTGGAAAGATATTAGTATATCTGACGTAGTTATGAGCTAAAAGGCCCAAATCGGAAGGTCCGATTGTATGGAGGCTAGGGCAAAACTTGAGCCGATCCTTATAAAGTTTATTGTTGGGATTTATGTTTATATAAAACTTATTTGTGTCAAATTTCATCGTGATACTAGTGTTTATAAGTGAATTTTAACCATCGAGTCATTTTCTGAAGGGGACTTAGTATGGGGGATAGAGTCAAATGATGCCCGATCATTACGAAAATCAGCAATATCATTAAAACTTATATAGAACTAAGTTTTGCCAATTTTTGGAGTGACACAAGAACATTTAACTTAATTATGTGTTCGAAAGCCCTAGTCGGGGAGTACAGTTGTATGAAGGCTATACGAAATAATGGACCGATTTTAACCATTTTGAATAGACTTCGTCCTTGGGTCAAAAAAGCACTTACCAAATTTTATCTAATTGCGACCTGTAGAGTGCGCACAAGGTTTACATGTACACATGGACGGACATACATAGCTAAATCGACTCAGGATGTGATTCTGAGCCGATTGGTATACTTTAAGGTGAGTGTAGGACAAACATTAGCACAAACGCATAATAGTCGGGAGTGGATAGTGGTGTAGGATATAAAGCGGGACTGGTTAAAGCTATGGAATAGGTACATGATAAAGGCATAGAAACCTCAAATAGTCGAATTTGCCTTTTTGAGCTTAATAGATCCACTTTCAAATTATCTATGAAGTCCTTGTATAGCGATTCTATAGAATATTAGTCTATGGTCATGATTACGCTTATAAAATTATGGTAAAATTCCCAAAAAAAAGTACAAATACTAAAAAGGAGTACATTTGCATTATGTAGTTAAAAGTACAATGACTAAAAAAAGTACGCGTGCTGCTGAAAACAGTACGTCTGGCAAGCCTATTCCTCTTAACAGAAGCGATTGTCCAAATGACGAATCGTATTGAAAATGGTTAAAATCGGTCCATTATTTTACCTAGCCCCAATACAACAGAACCTTCCTTATAGAGCTTTTAGGCTCATAATTATGTTTAATATACTCGTATCTCGACAAAAAACATCACAACTAAGTTTTGTACTAGACTTGATGACCCTGGCGAATTTTGTAATGATCGAGTGTCACTAGTCCCCATACTCATTTTCAGACCCTTCCTGAAAATGAGTGAAATGTTGCAATAAATATATATCTTATGTAAACGTAAACTCTTCCTTCAAATGAGAATCCGAGCATATTTTCCCCCAGCTCTTATATAAAGACTCTTTCAGAAAAATAGTTTTTCATCAATAAATTGCATAAATATATCGGAGGCAAAGTACAATTTAACTTAAATGCTTTATTATGAAAAATAAATCACATTTTATTCTGGTGCAATGAATTTCAATGGAATTGATATTGACAATGACATGTCGGTCCAAAAAGGAATTATGTCCAAAAAGGAATTTGTCTTATTTTTGCTGTTACAAAAAAGTAAAAAAAATAAAATCGTTTTAAGAAAATTTGATATAAAAATTCTAAGTCCGAAATCTACCTTCAGAACAAGGTTTACATGGACAGAAAATAATTCTAGGCCTATTGGTAAACTTTAAGATGACCGATGCTATAGTAGTGTAGGGTATGAAAAGGTCTAGAAAACATTAAATGAACTAAGTTCAAAAAAATTATTGTTTTTTTTATTTAATTAAAAAAATATAAACAAAATTATTGTAATCTTTAAGAAGCATTAAAATTCAATTGTAAATCATGACAACAAAATGCCAACCACCAAAGAGTCCATATCATAAACATGAATTTAACACCTGTACTGAACCGACATCTTTTGATCCACTGTTTATGGAGAATATAAATGATGTAGCGGATACATTGGTTGAGGTATGTATTTAAGTAAAAAATTATATTGTACCGATACAAATTAACAAAAACGACTTTGCAGATTATGATTGTATGTGGCATACACCGTTGCAAGGCGAAAGCATCAAAATCCACAATAATCAAAGCATTCCAATTTTACGATATCAAACGACATCGATTTGATGTAGCCCGAGAAGAAGAAGGTATTTCTAGGAATGATATGGTTTGTAATTTTCAATGCAAATGCATGATGACTCATATAGAAGCGTTGCTGGCTTATGGTATTGTTAAGAGATCGGTAAAAGCTTTTTATCATGGAACTCCAGACTACAGTATACGAAGTCCTATTACTGAAGCGGTAATTTTAAAGGAACAAGAATTTATATGGCAACATGCTGCCACAAGAACCGTTCAGTTGTTTGAACCATATGAACATATATTTTTCAATGCACATCAAAATTATGCCCAGTTAATTGTAAAAATCTACAAAGAATTACATAATCGCATAAAAAGTCGTGCTGATCCAGTTCTAATTGAAGATTATCATCCCAGAGGATGTGTTAAGAAGATAGTTATTGGTACAAAGTCCCCACCCAAATTGGATAGCGAAAAACTAAGATGTGTGGAGAAATGTTCCAAAATTGAAGAAATGAAAAAGTATATTAATCATTTGCCGGACAAATCGTTTCCATTCAAAAGTGTGACTAAATCTTGTGAATTTATATTTGGTTCTAAAGAATCTTCTGCACCACCACAACCTTTGGAAACACAAGCAGGAATAAAGAATAAACCCAAAAAATATGAAGTGAATCTGCCACGTTGTTACCAATGTAATTGTCCCAAATTGATTTGTGATTGTGACATCGAAAGAGATACAGGCATACTAGCCGTCGAATGTTCCCAAGGGCCTTACGAATGTCAGTGGGTGAGAATCGATAAGAATGACAGACCTGATCCGTGTATAGAAAAAAGAGAATTACATCAGTGTCCCATCGATTGTCCAACTTCAGAAAGTTCTAGTGAAGAAGATGAAAATCAATGGTCTGAGTGTTCTGAAGGAAATGAATCTGATGAATATCGAGAAACCGCGGAGGAACAAGAGTATGAAGAAACGGATAATGAAGAGTCTTTGGAAAGGATGATGCCTAAAAATTTACCAAAACGTAAAACCACAAATGAGTGTGAAAGAAGAGAAATTAGTAAATTACCTGCTACGAAAATTTGTTAATTGATATTTTATTTGCCCTAAAGATCTGTCAGTTAATTTACTTGTCTGTTTTTTATAGCGATAAATCTAAATTAAACACTAAGAATATTATATTCGTTATTATCAGATCTTATATACCCGCCATTAAAATATGTATATATGTGTCGCAAAGTTTTATAGTAGCCAAAATCTGTTAACTTTGAAATTATGGCACTCGTTTTAGGTTTATAAGATTCATAATCGAATATAACATTCTTATTTAACATGGACTTGGGCCAATTATGTCTGAACTGAACAGAATTAGAAAGAAATAAAAGAATAACAGTTATCACCACTTCAAAAGTAGCACTAAGTGAATTTTTTTATCTTTGGTGGAAGTGGAGTCTAATGACTTCCGAAGAAGCCTATTTCCCAATTTTATTTAAGTCAAATTAGTTGTATTCTATAATGCAACAATTTTACTTCCAAATAACTTAAAAAATAAGAACATAAAAATTACTTCTTGAGAATAAATTCGGAAGTAGTGAATTTGCAGTCAAATAAAAAGAACATCTCTGTGTTAAAATCATCACTTCTGCAGGTCTTTTTCAGTACTTCCATAGAGCAAATTATACTTCTTTTTCGCTTCTTTGGAAGTTCTTTTTTGCTGAGTTTTTAATTAAAGGTCAAAAACAAACATTTTTATTTCAAATGAAAGTACCGATACTATTATTCAAAGAATATAATATCACACAGTGGCTTGGAAACATTTATTTTTGTAAATAATTTGGTATCTCCGGAACCAATGGGGACCAGTGGGTAGCATCTCAAATTTGGTCACCTCGGTTATCAGTGGTAATTTTACAACCACTGGGTGAGCTTATTCGACGACTCACAAAAACGTCACTTCTGTTTACAACCACGCAGATTGGAGGGCCTCTGTTGATTCGGCAACAGCAGCTAGAAACGTACTCGGTAGACCGATATACGAATCCTTCAAATAATCCTTCACGGAGAACACACTGTGGCAAATCTGGTATCAACAAAGTGAACCTTGAACATCCGGACAAGGAAGGAAAATTCAATGCTATACTTGCATAAGATACCTTACATCCATCACTATTCTCATTCATTTGACACACTCATTGAGAAAAACACCCGCTACACTCAGTCTAGGTATACGAATGGGTGAGGTCCGCAGCCACTACGTATCATATACACTTCACATCAACTCATTTCTCACGATCGGCAACAGCACCGAACTTATAGACTTTACCGTGTATCAGTCTTAACCAACATTCTCTTTCCGCGAGTTTGGGCATAACTACAGCCATCACGTGAACACCCAAGGGACCTCTCCAATAACCGGGACAAGACAAGATTTAGAATTTCTAAACCACTATGCATTATTTCAGCATTCGCCGTGAAATCGCCGGACTGGAGCACACAAATTTGCCATAAATGCTATGATTTTCGGGTTCGAACAAAAAATTATAAGAAATGGGTACTTCTTCATAAAATGTATGAACTTTTATTGAAAGCTTTTAAACTCAACGTTTTTTATTAATTCATAAGTTTTATTCAAACTAAATTATTAAAGTCAAATAACTAAAAAATGCACAATCATTCAGATCTAAAATATTTAATATAAAATCAACAGATGCCACCGCTGGAATTTCTAAACAAATAAACACAAATTAATGAACTTCATCTTTGTTAATTTCATTTTTTTTTTTCATTTACTGGCAGTTTGTTTGTTATTGGTCTTGTTAATAGTCGCAGGTATTTTGTTGATATTACAGGTGAGAAAATAGTTAACATATTATTGATTATTGCAGCGGTCGAAACTTAATAGACATCACAGTATTTTAATGCAAACAAACATTAATAACACCTCTTATTCATCTTTGAACTGATGAAGAAGTTTTCTCGCCATCGACAAGTACGTAGCATATTCTTACTCAACTAAACTCCAACTATGAGTATGAGTATATTAGGGTGTATTTTTATTTTCAAAATTTCTAAGAGTTTGGGTCTGAAAACTTATGTTAGAATTTTGGATAGCTCGTAATTTGACTTGTGCTAAATTACATCTCTGGTGATATCCGTTTTCAACAGACCAGTCCATAACAGAGACTTGTATTATGATCTCTAAATTACTAAGCTTCTGAAAAATTTATTTGCCGTTATCGATATTGTCCGATTTGACTTACATTTGTGAACTTTACCTAGATCCGTAAACTTCGAAATTCCCAAAAAGGAAACAATTTACAGAAAACTCAAACTTAATAGAGAAAAAAAAAACACCTTAATCTTAATGTGGAGGCATTGGAGTTGTATAGAGGAGTTCAGTTAAGTAAGTGTGCATAACTTTCCTTCTATAGCTGTCAATACATACATCATCTAACACTTTGTACTGCGAGTCCAAATACCGTATAGTGTAAACAACAACACGTTGCTTTAACATCATCTTCATGCATCCAGCCAGACCCCATCTATAAAAAAACACAAAAATTGGTATATTTATATGGAAAAAATATAGTGTTAAAGGCAGACCAAACAAACAAATCAATAGAGAAGCTATAAAAACAAAACCCCAAAAAAAAAAAACGAATAAGAAATACAATGCTGCACGTATTCGAACATGGACCATTTATATGACTAGGAACTAATGCATGTAGTCAACTGGATGTATGTACGGACGGGAGTGATTGAGGGACAGACATATTGCTAATAGTAATAGAACTCTTTTTTTTTCATTTACATACAATACAAATTTATTGGTAGCACAGGCATCGTCTAATACACGTACGTATACAATCGCATTAAGTTGTACAAATATACTCGAATACGTTTCAGTATTAAGTAAAGTGGATTTAATGTGTTGCAAGTGCAGTATTTGAATTGTGAGCAACAATGTTTTATGAAGTTGAACTACACCATTTACAATCTTAGGGTTAAAGAAATATTTTTCGGTTTTGTATAATTTAAGGAATATTAAAATTTCTTTAAGTAATGTTTTCCTGATGAGGACTAGTTGTGATATTCAAATCATTTGGACAAATTCAACTGTTGAAACCAATGTAATGTTTCGGTTGTTCCAAATTTTGTATTCCCTTTATCAACGTCGGACGAATATTTTGGTCAGATTAGACTGATACATCACAATATCAATACCAATAACAATCGAATATATTTCTTAAAAATTACGTCTCCAACCGTTCTCGGCATCAGCTTTTGAAACACCTATTCTATAATATTTTTTGCTCTAAAGCTCTAAAGTTTCGGTTGTTCCGAATTCTATATTCCCATTATCAACGTCGAACCAATATTTTGGTCAGATTAGGCAATTACATCCCAACAATAACAATCAAGAATATTTCTCGAAAATTGGGTCCCCTATCATTCTTGGCATAAGCTTTTGAAACACCTATTCTATAGCATTTCTCGCTTTAAAGCTCTATTCTCTCTGGCACTGTTAATGGAAATGGTGTTAATACTTCATTTACTCCTGTTTATTTGAAGAACAACAAATATCGATCTGTCTGTGAATGGTGCAAGTACACATTTAAGTAGCTTAAACATCAAAGTAAAAATTACCGCTGACAACATCTATCAATTGTTAATTTTCTATTTACCAAATAGTCTTAAATGCATACAATATATACCTATATACATCCATATGTAAGTAAGTATGCATAACCGACTATGCACAGTGGTATAGGAAAAAAAAAGAGGGAAATAATTCGGTAACTTCTAAACGGTTAATCCGATTTTAATGAAATTTGGTATGCACAAAGAGGAGGTGTTGTCGAGTTTAGGTTTTGAATTTGGACCTTATAGGCCAACCAGGGGCCCGGCGGGGGGTCCTCAAATTAGGACACCTCGGCTATGTTAAATTTTTAAAACGATCCTATTTCTTCATTTGAGTTCCGATTTAAAAAAAATTTCGTATATAGAATCTCCTCATCGAGCACTATAAAAAATGTTGTCATAGCAGTAAATTATCTCTTATAGTTTAGGAGATATTCGCATTTGAAAATTAAAATTTTAAAATTTTTACCGTCCTTACTTTAGTTTTTTTTGATAATAGCAGGTCCAAATATTCCCGATTTTCGCCATTTTGTTTTATTCGCTTAACAACAAGTTTATATATCAAGCAGTGAAAGAATTATGTAAAAATCATGACTGAGTCCAAAGTTATAGGCATTTTAATTTAAAAAATTAAAAAAAGGCGATTTTTTGTCATTTTTTTGGGAAAAAAGTATCTTTTTCTTTTTAAGTTATCTAAAAAGTTTCTAAGAAGATGTATATAGAATTTATACTTTTTGGAAAGCTGACTTTACATAAAATACGATAAATGAAACAAAACCTAAAAATTTTTGATACCGAGGGGACCAGGTCCATCCAAAAAAACCCTATTTTTTATGGAAAATTAAATTTTGAGCAAAAATTCTCAAATCGCATAGTCGATATCAAATTATAGTGACCTGTTTTATATGACCCAATAAGTTCTTAATCATTTTGTAACGGGTTTCGATAACCCCGCCCCTGGTATGGATATAATAGGCAAAAAACCAAAAAATCCCATTTTTGGGATTTTGTAAAACTTTTTTGGGAATTCCGGGATTTCTAATAAGAAAATTCGAAATTTTTATTTAATTTTGGATTTTGAGTAAAAAAATCTACCTAACTGTAAAATTTCATCAAAAAATATTCATAAATAAAATTTTTATTGCAATTAGAAAAATTTGTATCTTCGCAAAAACTGAATAAAAAACATTTTTTAATTTTTTTTAAAAAAAGTATTCCGCGAATTTTTTAATTTTCAAAAATTATATACAGTTTTGAAAAATAGACAAAATTACCTTTCCATTGATATATAACATGCCTACCTAATGTTTTTTAAGTGACAAATTAATTAGGGAAAACTCAACATCTTTTAGAAAATTTACCTAGCACTATTATTTTCATCCATATATGTAACAAATTTAAGAGTTAACCTTATGGATGAAAATAATAGTGCTAGGCAAATTTTCTAAAAGATGTTGATTTTTCCCTAATTAATTTGTCACTTAAAAAACATTAGGTAGGCATGTTATATATCAATGGAAAGGTAATTTTGTCTATTTTTCAAAACTGTATATAATTTTTGAAAATTAAAAAATTCGCGGAATACTTTTTTTAAAAAAAATTAAAAAATGTTTTTTATTCAGTTTTTGCGAAGATACAAATTTTTCTTGCTTTTTTGGACGGGTTATCGAAACCCGTTACAAAATGATTAAGAACTTATTGGGTCATATAAAACAGGTCACTATAATTTGATATCGACTATGCG